GGATGCTAAGGAATCCTCAATCTGACTGCTCTGCCAAAAATGGGTCATGTTTGTAAAGACACCCAGAAATCCTCGAGTGGCACCCAGCTGTGACATAGTTGGGAAGCTGTGAAAGTGCCTGAAGAGAGAGGAACTTCCCAGAAACATGCCATCCAAAATACCAGGAAGGGACTTAATGCTGGTTTTAGGTTGGCTGTAACAGCCCCAGTGGTGTGACACACTTCATGCTACAAGAAAATTGTTTTCTTTGTTATTCTCTTTTTAACAGTATTTTCAAAAGTGCTTTTCTGAATTTTTCTGGGATTTTCTTCCCCAAAGAATTCCATCAAGAGGAACTCCAGTTTAAAGCCTCTCTTAACCTTGCATGGACTTGCTCACTAAGCTTATCTCGTTGGATGATTGCAAGTTAGCAGGGTTTCTTGAGTTAATAGATACCTCTCTTGAACTGTTACCTCCCTCCTCAGCTAAACATTAACAATAAACCCAAGGCAATTGCAAGTGCTTGAGTTAGTGGTGTAAGGAGTTAATTCATTTACTAGTAATCTGGAGCCAAGTAAGAGATGGTTCAGTGAATTATAGCAGGAGCATTTTATTCTATCAGAGTTGTCCACAGGCTTTGCTTGAAGGGCTGCCAACTGAGATGGGCTCAGGTTGCTCATGATCCTGCTTTTCTCCAGAGAGATGGGAAGGGAGGAGAAGGAAGAAAATGAGTGTGAGTTGTTGACAGAGGAGGGTCATCAGAATGTATTTGACTAAACCCTTGTCCCCGCAAGAAGATTAAAAAAAATAAATAAATTTTAAAACCCCCACCAAAAACCAAACCAAACTGAAGGTCAAATAAACAAAGATAGGAAAATCCATGTTTCCTGTGCCTGGCTGCTTTTGTCTGTCGTGACTTTCTCTGTTTGTATCTTTGTCCTTTCCTCCTGCATGGTGCTGTCAGGAAAACCTGACACACTCTGGACTGGCTGGTGCCACCACTGCAGAGAAGTGGCAGCTCTTAGCAAAGCATTCTTATCTGTTGCTCATCTTTGAAGGCACATCAGCAGCCACTGCTGTGGCGTGTTAACATCTCATTCTCCTGCGAGCAAGATTAAATAAAAGCTGCTAACATCTCTGAAGTTTCACGCCTGAGCCAACCCAGTCTTGTCATTTGTGGCCAGGAAGGCGAGTACTGGTTTTCTTAGAATACCAGAGGGAAATTTTGCTGTCTTCATTTAGTGCAAGTCAGGCTTGGTAATATGAAAACCTGGAAAAGGAGCAAAATAAATTCTGCTCTGGGCTTGTTATAATGGGGAAGAGGAGATGGTATCTCACCTGTCCCTTGTTCTAAGCTAAGTCTGGTGGAGTTTTTGTTAAACGTGCAGGCTGAGATTCATAGAATCACAGAATGGTTTGGGTTGGAAGGGACCTTAAAGCTCATCCAGTTCCAACCCCCCTGCCAGCAGCAGGGACACCTTCCACTAGACCAGGTTGCTCAAAGCCTCATCCAACCTGGCCTTGAACACTTCCAGGGAGGAGCAGCCACAGCTTCTCTGGGCAACCTGGGCCAGTGTCTGACCACCCTCACAGGAAAGAATTTCTTCCTCAGATCTCATCTCAATCTCCCTTCTTCCAGTTTAAAGAAATTTCCCCTTGTTCTATCACTACCTGTCCTTATGAAAAGTCCTTCCCCAGCTTTCTTGTAGCCCCTTCAGGTACTGGGAGGCCGCTATAAGGTCTCCCTGGAGCCTTCTCTTTTTCAGGCTGAACAGCCCCAACTCTCTCAGCCTGTCCTCATAGGAGAGCTGCTCCAGCCCTCGGATCATCCTGGTGGCCTCCTAATGGATTTCCTCCTAATTTCCTCCAGACAGGGAGCAGTGACAGCAGCCATCCATCCCACAACTCAGCCAGCCTCAGCCACGTTCACTGAGCACTGACAAACAACCAGTCTGGTTCTCTCCTGCCAACCACAGGCTGCCACGGCTCAGCGCCAGCGTCAGGCCAACCAGCACGTTCACCTCCTGCTCTCGCAACTATGTTTAATTTGCTGCAATCATGAATTCATAAATCCAGTTACACTGCAGCGCTGCTCATAGGGAACAAGGCTGCCTGGAAGTCCTTGGCTACGTGGAGCTTCCCACACTCTCAGTTGGAGCATGAGCACAGTGTCCTCTACCAGGAAATAAAGTTCTAAAACATGACTTTAAGGATCAGGCTAATCCAGAGGAGTCAGCTGAAGTTTATGAATGGTCAGCTGCTGAGAAGGGGTTAGAAACAACCTCCACACAGAGAGATGGCATATTCCCCCTTTAAAATAAACGTTTATTAAACAGTTTAGCTCTATCTTGTTAGTGAGGTGGTGTGCTGGTGAACAGCAGGCTGGCCATGAGCCAACAGTGTGCCCTTGTGGCCAAGGCCAGCAGTATCCTGGGGTGCATTAAGAGTGTGGCCAGTTCCAACTCAAGTTGGAACTGGATGATCTTTAAGGTCCCTTCCAATCCAAACCATTCTGTGATTCTATGAAATGGGAAATGCTGGCTTGAGTGTGGCCAGGGAACATCCGAGATGTTGCCGCACTGTCAGTATCACCTGGCAGCAGAGCTCCAGCCTCACTTCTGAGATGGCTGAGGTACCTTAGAGCTGAGTTGTCCCAGCTCTGTGGAGGTGGGCAGGGACCCTGGCACAGGGCATGCTCTGCTCTGAAGGAAAAAGAGCGATCTCTTGTGCAAAACCGAGGGAGGAGGACACTGGTGACACAAAGCAGAGGCTGCCCCTGTAGCCACAAGAGGGCTGTCCAGTCTCTGGGTTGCACTTGTTCACTGTCAGGAAGCCTGTACACGCTCAGTGCAGCCTTGTCTTGAGCCCCAGTGCACCCGAAGGAATTGTGCACGGATGCTGTAAGCCCATCAGCGGGGAGTCTGCTGGGCTGTCCTTGCCAAGAGCTGCGTGGTTGTCAGGTCGTGGTTTGTCCTGCTGGAGCTGGAGCTGTCAAGCAGCATACAGTGGACCTTTGAGCAGTCTCCTCAAGGTGTTTTGGCCAAATGTATGTCTTTATTGGTCCTACCCAGTAACCTCTCTTTCAGGTGGTTGCTGGTTCTGGTCAGTCACACGCTCACTACTCACGTTGGTGTCCTGCTCCTGGGCTCAGCAGCCTTTGCAGTTCTTCCCCCACTGCCCCTTTCCTCTCACTGTAAGAAGAACGATCAGCTGTGATGTTTAACAAGAGTCTGAGACAAAGCTTGATAAAGCTGTTGGAGAACTGCAGAGGCAGATGTAATGAGTCAGACTGCTTGATCCTGCTGGTTAGCCTCTGACCTGATCCAGCAGCTGGTGGGAGGAGAATCCACCTCCAGGCAAGCTCCTGTCATATTCCTGATGGAACAAACAGCTTTTTCCTTCCCTGTGGCTTTCCTTCAAGGCTGTTTATCTCTCTCCTTCTGCCATGGTTTTTGTGTGGTGTGTGGACAGAAATTTCTACTTAAATATGGGTCATGAGGGAGTCGAGCTAGCAGGAGAGTGACAAGGGAAGGGAAGGACTGCCAAAAGCATTCTACCCAGAGAAGCCCTTCCCCTGGGCCATGGCTGTTGGTTTTGGGTTAAGGCTTAGCTGGGGGCCAAATGTTAAATGAGTTTTCCTGTGTTTCATCCTGGCCCTAAATTAGCAACACCTATCGAGTAGGTTTTCTTTTTCTTTTCAATTTGTAGAAGGTGCTGGATCTCTGCCGTGGCCAGGTGGCTCTGCAACTAAACCTGGAAAACCCAAAGGAAAGAAAAAGATTTCTTCAGTTCGACAGAAGTTTGATGTAAGTGTCCACAGTCAAATGGTCAGGGCTCTCTGACATTCTGTTGGGGGTGGAGAGCTCTGCACAGCACCTAGTTTTGGTACTACCAGGGATGATGAAACTCCATCATGTGCAGTGGTGTATGTCGTATTTGTTTTGAGCTCTGGATTGGGGCAAGAGCTGAGGGGTAGCAGCTGCTGCCTCTCTTGTGGAAGCCTCTTGAGAGAAAGGCTGCAGTGTGACCTGGCTTTGTTAGACACCAGAGAATCCGTGGAGGAATGCCTAAATGTCAAAGCTGCAAAAGCTTGCAATCCAGGAACCAACCAGGAACCAACAAGGAGTAGCTTTAGCTGTGGGATCTCTGCAGTAAGGCTTGGGCAGATCTTTCACAGTCTCATTCACCTTTCACATTCTCTGCAGTACCTTGTTTGCTTCACACACCTCTGAATTCTTGAAGCAAATGTGTTTTCCTATTTACTCAGGCAGAATTCCATGACTGTGTGATCCCCTCCACAGGACTCTGCAATCTGAAGCCTTAGTAGTAAGATGTTCCTTGGGTGGAACATTTTTAGAAGGTCAGGTTGTTTCAGAGTTGAAAATGCTTTACAAAGATGCTATCTTCTGATAGATGGTGGAGAAACACTCCAGGTCCAGTTCATTTTGCAGCAGAGGCTCTGTACATCCATCTGGTGCTGTGACACATCTGTTCCACGGTTGTCTCTGTGGAGGGGGACCTGGTGTGGAAGAGGAGTGGGATGGGACACTGTCTTCCACAGGCAAAGTTTGATAAGATGGTTCAAACTGAATTAACAATTTGTTGAAAGGGAGAAGTGTCTGTCTCTTACTCAGCCAGATTTATCAGCTGTCTGAGCACATTGTCATCTGATTCAGTAACCAAGTGAAAAAGACCCCAAACCCCAAGTTTTTCTCGCCAGTTTATTCAGCTGGATCAGCATTCCTTGCAGTTGGGTGAATGCCAAAGCCAGTGCAAAGGAGGAGGGGACAGCTGCGTGGCTGGGGTCAGGGAGAAAGGTGGGCCTGTGAAACCTCTCACTCTTGCACTGTGAGAAGTTATCTTGGCTCAGCCAAAGTGTCTGCCACGCTTCTGGGTGCTGTGATTAGACATGATGTGTGTGTTCCTCAGAGACTAGTGCTTCAAAGGGAGGTGAGTCCCGCTGAACACCCGTTGTATTTAGAAACTGCTGAAATATTTTGTAGTGCTCACAGCCAGAACCTGAATTCTGATGACAGTCTGTGTTACCTGGCTTTAAAACATCACCCTCACTTTTCAGTAGCAAGTAGAGGGGAGTTTGAGAAGCACATTGTGACACAGTGGAAGTATTGGAATTTGCTTTACTCAGTCACCCCTGTGTTACACCACACTATACACGTGTTCCTGGAATGCTTGGTAGGAAGCACTGTATGAAGTGTATGTTATGATTTATGGGCTTGCCCATTTCTAGTGGAGTAATGTGGACTACTAGTCCAACTAGTAGTGGAGTTCCTGAGTCGTGTGAACTTGAAGTGCCTTGATATTTCCTGATGTTTCCCTCCCTGGTCAAAATAGCAGCTGTGAATGATCACAGGTTCATTCCAATTGGCTTCAGCTCTCCCAAACCACATTACTCTTAAGAGCTGCTTACATTTTGAAGGTTTTTTTCCAGGCATACAGGCATGTGGCTTTCCTGTAATGTAAGCATAAGTCTTCAGAATTACAGGGAGGGAAACCTGCTTTCACATCATTAGTGGGTGGGATGGTTTTTCACTCTGAGTTAAATGCCACACTGTCCTTTGAATAAAGCAGCTCCTGAAACTAAGATGTGACAGATCCACTTTGCTGTATATTCATTGTTTATATTCAAATTATGTGTTTATCTTGATGCCCTGTAACAGCCTTGTGGCAATCTTCATTCCAGAGCCACTGGATTTGTGGCTTGGAGAGCTGAGGGATGGGAGTAGCGGGAGAACTTGATGAGCCAGGGCTGTGTTGTTCCCTTGTGGTTTGGGGCTGGGCCAAGCACATGTCTGGACCCAAGGATCAGTCATTCCTGTCTGCTTTTTTCACCACTTTACATGGGGACTGAGACTTCCTGAGAGCCACCACAAGCACTTGGAGCTTGAGACACCAGAACAGCAAGGGAATTGTGCTGGAATAATTGTAGCCTGGGAAATGGGGGTTGCCACCTTCTGGTATGAACTCCTGTTCTGTGATACAGAACATGTTTTTTCCTAAATAACTGAGTCAGTTCTGAAAAATAGCCATAACCCATCTCAGAATCAGTGGCTGCTCAGTAACACAGCTCTGCTTAGCGTATTGAAAGTGCATGGGGAGACTAGAGTATGAAATTCAGAACTGGAATTTGGCTAAGTTGTTGCATTTAAAGCTTTAAAGAAATGTAAAAATCACTTAAGAATCACAAGCTTAGGGTCATAGTTTTTAATCTTGATGGAAACTGTACAGTTAATAAGTAAAAATATACCCTTTTGTACAAGAAAATGACTAGAAGAGAACTCTTCAGCATAGAAGGAGGTGACTGAGAAGTGTGAAAGTCCATAAAATCATCTCTGACCTGGATAGTGTGAACAGAGATAAAAGGGACAATGACCGACCACATTTGAGACTTCCAGGAGAATCAAATTAATCTGGCAGGTGGGAAGTACAGAGCAAACCAGAGAAGGTGACTCTTCATGTGGTGTGTTGTTGCACTGTGGAATTTCTTGCTGCAGGATGTTGTGAATACCCAAAGTTTAGGTGGTTCAGGGTGCTGCTGGACAAGTTCATGGGCTGTTTAATAAAAGGACACCAGCCCTGGCTCAGAAATTTCTTCAGTCACAAATTGCTGGGAAGGTATCCTGGGGAGGAGTATCACTGTGCTTGTCCTACTGTGATATGTCTTCATAGGTGTTTGCTTTCTGACTGGAGGGGGGATGTTTGGCTAGATGAACCAAAGGGTCTGACTGAGTATTTATCTTATTATTCTCTGATGTTGTGTTCATAACAGCACCGGTTCCAGCCTCAGAATCCGCTGTCTGGAGCCCAGCAGTTTGTGGCAAAGGATCCTCAGGAGGATGATGATTTGAAGCTGTGTTCTCATACCATGATGCTTCCTACACGTGGCCAGTTAGAAGGAAGGATGATTGTAACGGCGTATGAGCACGGGCTGGACAACGTCACAGAGGAGGCAGTGACCGCAGTTGTTTATGCTGTGGAGGTGAGACTGGGATGGGCAGCAGTGTCATCCTCGTTCTACCAGCAACCAAAGGCTCTGTGTGCAGTATGGGGCAGTGTCCCTCTGTGGGGAGAGGAAATTTGCTTCTTTAATTGCCCGTTTGCCTTGGGAGGAGTAAGATGAGGATCCGAAGGGCTTCCAGATCTGTGGCATCATAGATGTAAAGTCTTGGATTTCTGCCTGCAAGTGTTAATTTTGAAGGACTTGCACGTGAAGAACTCCAGCCATGCTTAAGTAGCTGTTTTGGAAAATACTGTTCCTGTCACTTTGAAGCAGGGGCAGAATGGGAGCTCCAGTTTAAACCATCCTATAAAAACTAATCTGTTCTGGGCACAAGTGTCTGCCATGGAGGTGCAGTGATGGAATCGGGTAGTACCTGCAGGTGAAGTACCTGCTGTTGCTGGTTTTAACCTTCTGTGGTGCGTTACCTGACGAATCCCAGGAATGAGTCAGCCATTACTTGGACCGTTGATGTGTGGATGGTTTTCTGGAGTTCAGGATGTGGAGGCCAACCTGAATTCCCCATCTGGGAGTGAGGCCAGATTTAAGAAGCAGTTGTCTGCTTGTTTTTTTCAGACAGTTGCTTCTCCAGCACTTCCCAGGCAACTGAACAGTCTGAAAAAAGAAGAGTGATTGGCTTTTCACTGCAGCTTTAGGGCCGGTATTTACAAGAGCAACATCTACTGCCAATTCTGAAATCTCTTTGCTGTTTATCAAAGGGATCAGAGGTTGGGAATTTCCTAGCATTTAAGAAACCTCTTTGACATTTGAAGCAGTGCATCACATACTAAAGTGGAGTTCACAGGCTCATGAATACAGTGCCATGTTCTCTGTAGCCAACTGCACCAGGTAGTGAAAACGTACTGTGCCTTGCCCAGATCTTGGTCCCCTCACATCTTTATGTCCTTGTGGTCACAGCAGCACTACTTCTGTCTTGCCAGTTGGTGAGGCACTTCTCATAGCTGTGGCTTGGTAGAGTGACTAAGTCAGCATGTGTAATGAGATTGTTTTTCACTGCAGAACCATCTTAAGGATATTCTGACATCTGTGATATCCAGGCGGAAAGCCTATCGCCTGAGAGATGGCCATTTCAAGTACGCCTTCGGAAGCAACGTCAACCCTCAGCCGTATCTGAAGAACAGTGTTGTCGCTTATAACAATTTAATTGAGTGGTAAGGAGCTGTCAGCACCCTGCTAATTTCAAATGCAATTTGCTAGTCCCAGAGTTACTCCATGGTTAGGTTTATCTTTTCACTTAGTAGAATCTGTTAATAATGGTGTTTAGCTTCCACACACTAAGAAGGGATCTGCATGGAGGACTGTGAAGCTAAACAGGGAGGGGAGAATCAGCGGAGTTTAGGACACTGTTAAGTCTCTGTTCCTTGCCTGTGCCTGCCCATCAGTTTACAGAGGTGACCCCTGCCCCTCTGAACGTCCTTAGTAATTAATGCTTTTTAGAAGCTGTAGCGAGTGACACAGGAATTCTGCTGCTCCCAGGGAAGCTGCCCCTGGGCAGGAGAGCCCTGCCTTTGTGGGGGCACTGCTGTTGTGCCATAGGAGTGAAATGTCAGTGAGGACCAGCAGGACACTGCCATCCTGTCACTTCCTGCATCCAAATGTATTTATGGTTCCTTGGCAGGCCTTTCCAGTGAGCAGAGCTTCAAGGTCATCTTACTTCCCACAGTCTAAATGTCAAAACAGTTTGCACTGTGCATCTGTGTATGAGAAGGCAGTTGTGTTTGTCTATGGCAGCTTCTAACAGTTGACAGGAGGTTGTGGGTGTTTAAGATTTGATTATAGCACTACAAACACTACAGATGCAATCCACTCCAAACAGCTCTGCCTAATGGCTAATGTCTTTCAGTTCAAATGTTGTGGATGCCTTAATTTTTATGCTGGGTAGGAACTATTGGCTGTAAATAACAAAAGTTGCCCAATTGAGATCAGTTAAGCAGATTTGAAGCATGTTGAGGATTGATTTGTGCTACTTTTAATAAACTGGAATTTTAAAGAGGTTTGAATTACTGCTGAAAGACATTTATGTACTTGAGGGCTAAGTCAGCTGATACAGAAAAGCAAAGCCTGGGGCCAAGCCCCTGCTGTGTGACTTCCAAAGCTGGTGCTGTTCTCTTGACTGGAAGATTTTACTGCCTGCTCTGTCTACAGCCCTCCAACCTGTGTGACACCTTCTGCTGGTCAGAGTTTAGCTCCCCAGCCCCCACCTGACGATGCTGAGCAGCAGGCAGCCCTACTCCTCGCGTGCTCTGGAGACACCCTACCAGCATCCCTCCCGCCAGTGAACATGTATGACCTCTTTGAGGCATTGCAGGTGAGCTGTTGATGCTACTCTGTCACGTCACTCAGTACCAGCTACCAGTCTTAGATTTGGTTTACATGCATGATTTGATTCTGCATGGTTTACATGCAGAATTTGATTTCTTCTCCTATGGTCTGCTTCCTTCTTTTCCTCTTGAATTTACAATTTTTGTGTTTTGACTTGTTTCCACTATTAGGTAACATTTAACGTACAGTCAGCTCGTGGTTTAATGCCTGTTCCGCTCCCTTGGTCAGAGAGTTGATGAGGAACTCTGTTTCTCTTGTAGTTACGTAAAAAGGGTGAACTCTTTCTCTGTAGCAGGACAGCAGTGATTATGTCAGAATTGAGCTAGACTGAGATTTTGACAGCAATGCAGCAGAATGACTTGCCTGGCATGTCCCTTCTTCCTCCTCATGTTCCACCTGGGTACTTAGAGGAATACCTGGTCCTGGCCTGCAGGCTGCTGCAGGGGGTTAGCTATGATCACCCCAGACCTGAGGAGTTATCTCAGGAAGGCTTAATGAATCTTCCTGTGGAGACACATGCCTGTAGTTCCCTCCCTTTCTGGCAGATCTGAGGACATTCAGACTGCTTTGAAAGTCTAAAATTACCTGTGAGAAATTTCTGCTTGGTCTCCACTGTTGTGAACAGGCCTTAGGATGTTATCTGAAGGCTGAGGAGGCACACCATTCATTGTAAGGGCGGTGATCAAGCATTCCTCTTGTGTGCTTAGTCAGATAGAGTTGTTGTTTATAAGATTTTGATGACAGATAGTTGTTTGTCATCACAAGAACAAAATGACCATTTCCTTACCATGTGACTCCGTTACGAAATGCTGTGTCAAGTGGTTCTGTGCTGCAGCATGGCAGTGCTGGCCAGTTGCAGCTCTCCTCGTGTGTGACAGCCTGCATTC